TTCTCCTGTCTTTTTCTTTAACCTAACAAAATTACATAAAATTTATTACTCGGCATCGTCTACTACCTTCCTAACAGTTTTTAATGTTGCAATCAAATTTGACACACACACAAGTCATGCGCTAAGCGTATCAAAGATTGTTTTACAGCCACCATATATATACTTGGATAAGGTATGATAGCAGGACATTATTCTCATCGTACAAGGACCTTCATGTTCTTTATACATCTAAATCATTATGAGAACTGGGGTGGCCTTCTGGACACCGGACATCCACGTCACACAGATTTCATGGCCTGAGCGGTCATCTTCTATCAGCTGACATGTCATACACCCAACTTATTCTACAAACGATACAGACATAGTCTTGTTTTGTCCAAACACCCCTTCTTGACATGACATTATTGCAGTTTTTCCAACATTTCCCTCCTATTTATACTAAGTATAACTACTAATTAAAAGGAAAAAATGAAATAATGTTCAACCAAACTAATTGAATGATTGCATAAAAGAAAGCCAGATTACTTTTATGTGTAAAACCCAATGCAGCAGTTCCCTCAATTCTCATCGTCCAGTTGACAATCCTGTTAGTTAAAATTGGTTATTCATGGTAGCATCCACCCATCGCTGCTGTAGTCCTCCAATACCAAGTATTAGAGTCACCCAAACACAACGAGGAGCGATACAGCGACTGAGATCAAAATAAACAGTGATAAGCCAAATTCCTTCCCTTGCTGTCTTGTGATTCCAGCATTCTACTGAAAGGGCGTGTGTGCATTTATTTGTGCAATTTGTTGGTCCGTCACTGGGGTCCGCCTCGCCCTCCTGCTGCTCCTCCCCTCCTCCACCGCCGATGTGAGGCCTCCCTCCTCGGCTCCGGCAAAAGTCTTTGCCCATCAATGTTTCTTCTTCTTTCTTCGTCCCTGGTACAGCTTGCTGCTTCCGTCAGGGCTCTTACTGTGCTGACTAAAGTGTCTTTGTTCTTTGCTCGTCGTCTCTCCTTCAGATCGTCCAAGCATTTTGTAATGTTCATTGATGGGGCTGTAGTTGTTGGTTCTTCTTCATCCTTGGTGTGGTGCGGTGAGAGGGTGGCGGTGCCGAGGGCGATGACAACTGGTGGCGAAGCGGAGTCCAGTCCAGGATCCACTCGAACGTTCCTCGTATGATAAAAAACAAAAGGTTCAGGAGAGAGGACAGGTGCTCTCCATGAAAAACACTAAACCTCACACAAGTCCAACTGAATCTCACAAATCTCCCTTCAGCCAGAAGCCAGAAAAAAACACTTTGCCGTCACAGGGTGCAATTGTATGTCTAGACTAAATTACCACAAGGGGCAGTAGTTTGCCCATTAACAGGTGGGTCAGATACTTTACTGGGTTAAAGCCAGGAATGGCCTACTAAAGGTTGAGGGTTGTTCAGCATGTCAAGGAGGCTGTGGAACCGTTTGGACATGTGGATGTTTTGACCCTTGGTCCAGTGCAGGCTGCTAAAGCCCTGCTCCTCTCGGGGAAGGTGGTGGGGAGGCTGGGTGCTGGGTGTTTACGCCATTGCTGGTCGCCACCTGTTATACAGAAGCAAAGCATGCTATTATCTCCGACACGGGAGAATCTGGCCCCGCAGGCCTGGGTTATAAAAAGTGTAGCACTCTGTGGAGAATTTCTATTTCTCCACAGGCAGAATAGCAAGAGGGAATCCGGACTGTGAGAAAGCAGAAAAGAGTCTGGAGCGGAATCCAGGAATCTCTCGGGCTTGCGTAGCCGGCAGCTCTTCCAGAGCCACTTTTTCCTCCTCACTCCTAAAACTATATGGACAAAGAGACGATTACTATCATTAGGGCTATTCCACCCCAGTTGTCCCTACATTTTATTTCTTCCCCGTAATTCTCTATGTAATAATGCTTGTTTGTTGGTTTTAGTTGGGTAGTTAATGATAGATTTCCCCTTTTTATAGGTTTGTAGGTCAATTAAATCAGCCTCTTCTGGTGGACATTTAAAATAGTTAACCCATTATAGACTGAAAGTCAAGTGTTGAGGTGTGCATCTGGATGCATACCTTTTTTAAATCGGACATCTCTGCAAAGTCCTACGAAACAGTGTTTCTGTCAGAACTGTGTTTGGTCCCCTTGATGTCTTGTCTTAGGTGCTCTATAGAGCCTCTTGTCCACACATACAATATTCAATTATGTCTTCTATGCTCCAGCTGTCAAAACCACTCAGCAGCGTCCTGCATGAATGGCAGGTCTCCTTTTCCTTCTCTAAACAAGGGGAGGTCTGACACCTTATGAGACGGAGTAAAAGACAACTGTGAGAGTAATGTCTGGGTTTACCTTCTTCCTCTGTTCACGTTAAAACCGCACAGCCAGAAACATGACGTCCCTCCACAAACATTTATCAGCATTCCACACTATTGTAACGCTGTTGACTGGGGGATCATTTGTTCCATGTTCGCTGACATATAAATATACGTACACTTACTGCCATATGAACCATAACACATGCTCACACGGACTCATTCAGGTATTTGTGGTTTATTTTCCAGGCTGTCCCGGGGCAAAGAAAACAGAGTTCCTGACAAGTGTTCTTGATGCGCTGTCGACAGACATGGTGCACGCCGTCACAGATCCAGCATCCACCGGAAAGTATGACATTCGCAAGCGAATTCACTTATTTTGAGGTTTCTCATGAACAGCAGTGACAGAAGGGGAATTCTTAGCTCATGAACTGATATCTGTTGTCTAGGGTGGCCGAGCCGGACCCCAGCCACACCCTGGAGGAGAGAGTGGTCCACTGGTATTTCAGTCAGCTGGACAAAAACTCCAGTGGGGACATTGGAAAGAAGGAGATCAAGCCTTTCAAACGCTTCCTGCGCAAGAAATCCAAGCCAAAGAAGTGTGTGAAGAAGTTTGTGGAGTACTGTGACATCAGCAACGACAAGGCGCTGTCTCTGCAGGAGCTGATGGGTTGCCTCGGGGTGACCAAAGAAGAGGGTGAGCTCAACCTCACAACACAGTGTCATAGCTTGCAGAAATCGATGGTTAAAATATAATCACCATGGCAGTCAGAAGGGGAATTGGAATCAGAGCTGCAAGACCTTTAACATTGTGCGGCTGTCCAATCAAACTAACTAGGCGGAGGCTGGTTTTGTCCGTCCGCTGGAGCAGTGCACATGACAATAGCCAGTCATGCTTGCATAATTTCAGCGTCACAATAGCACAATATAATGTCAAATGTACCTTTAGAACCCTTTGTGGATTACTTATCTTTTACATCAGTCATGCAAAGATTCTGAAAAGTCCGGGGATAGTTTTTAACCAGCAAATGGAGCCATCCATCAGTACGTTATCTAACGGCAGCAATACCATCTGCTACCAGTTGAGCTTGCAAAATTGGTTTCAAAATTGAAAGAAGCCTGTTTTTGTTAACGTATGTTTGAAATCAAGGGCCAATTGTTTCAAAAGTTGCTAAGAATTTAGGGAGGTGATTCAACTGACCGACATATTCCACATGTTATGGTTGTTGAGGTTTCTATCCCTTTCTGTGTAACAGGGGCTAAACCAGGAGAGGGTTTATCTTCCAGTAAACTAGTAAGTAACCCACTCCTCCCACACTTATGGATGAAATTAACTGTTTTATCTGTTTGTGTTTGTCTCAGTATTAATTATAATTCTAAGTTATACAAACAAATTGTCTGCCTAATTGCATGGCACGTGTCAAACTGACACATAACCTTAATGTGATCTCCACAGAATCCCTCAAGGAAGCAAGGGTAAACCACCATCTGAGACTTCCCCTCCCGCATGGGGAATCCGCCCTCAACAATCGGCAAAAACGGAAACCATAGTATTTGCACTTTGTACTTTAAAAAGAAAAAAATGTAAATTCACTTTGTAGAAATAAGGTATTTAAATCTGCTGAATCTGTGAATGATGTAGTTAGCTTTTTATGTCCAGACAAACATTATTTAACACATACAATGTATGTGTCCTTTGTGTGTCTAAAAAGTATACTTTTCAAAGTTGTACAAGTTTTCATGTTCGATGTTGCTTTTTGTCACCCTTCCCCCGCTGTAATTTTTCCTCCATGTTGATGATGGTAAAGCAGATAAATGGTTTGCTATATTATAGTTACAATAACTTAGACCATACCATCTCTCATGTACTGATCTATAGCATTTCTTCTCGTGCTTTGTACACAAGAATGTCTTAAACATGCAGCATAAAAATCTTCTACATGTTCACATGTAACCATGTTTATTAGAAATAAAGACCTCTTTTATACATCTGGTTCTTTGCCAGTCTTTACGTGTCAAAGGTTAATTAGGTCAGCGATTTCATTCTTTTCTCTCTAATCCAATTAGTCTTCCATGTTTTCCTTCTCCTTATACAAATTATGTAATGTCTTTGCCGTTTAGTGTTTACTTGCAGCGTCTTTAATAAAACACCTTGTTGACACAGTGTTTATGAGCCAAGTATTAGTCATACATAGCAACGGTTGTGTATCATTCCATTTTCAGACAGCATGCCAATTCCCTCGAGGCCACATCTGAGAATTGGGAAAAAGGGATGGCACTTATGTCTGCTCTCCATGTAGACTGAAGACAGATAAATTGACCTATGTTGGCTGTGCGTAGAACAAATGGCCACAAAAAAGGGCGTTATATGAGCCCGTGTGCGTATGTGAACATATAAGGTATACTTATATGTGTCTGAGGTTTGAACGGATCCCTGGGCCCAGGCCGGCCTCGACATATTGCACCACTGTACATTGTTCCTGCCTGATTATGTTGAGGCTACTAAGCGGTAAGTCGTGGCTTTTCACACAGAAAGTCCCCTACAGGGCTGAGCGACTGACCTCGAATTGACCTGTTCAATCGGGCATGGCCTCTAATATATGATTAACACATCAGTCTCCTTTCTTGTATATAATCGAGCAAAATGGTCCGTTTTTTTAAGAGGAGAGATTATGACTGCCTTCTCTTTAGTGGTGGATTAGAGATGGCCTTATTAAGCCCTTTCTCCATCCACAGCAAAGGAAAGTTAAATCTTAAGCAAGTGCTGTGCTGCAAGTGCTATGCTTCCCCCCACTTATGAGTATACGGCTAACCAAATGTTTTAAATCATTTGTTGTTTTTTATATACTTGTGAAAACAGTCTTTATATTATAAACTCAATTACTTTGCAATTTCCCTAATTTCCACCAACGTCAGTTTGACATAAATCCCCCCCAAAGGTGATGTTACCACCAAGCTCAGAGCAACATTTGCTTTTCCCAAAAAGCCATACAAACTGCTCCTGTGGGTGTGCTGGTTACAGGTGTAGCGGTGCAGAAACTACACCTTATTGCTGCTCTCCTTGTCCAAGAAACTCATCAACCTCCACCTAAACCTCCAGCCAACCCTTCAACCGCTGCTGAAGCTCCAACCTCTGCACAACACAATGCTTGACCCTTGTCATGTGTGATTTCGAGTCCCCTGGGCTGTGATGCACGTAAACACCTTTTACAATTTGGCTGGACGTCGAGGCATGGTTTTCCAAATATGTTCTGCTGATGGCTTGGACTCGTGCCTGAAATGATGGAGTAACTGAAGAAAGCCGGGCCCTCCGTCTCACTTCTCTTCAGTCCTGCGTCCTCACTTGTCTCACTCACATGCACAAACACACTCCCTGAACACAGAGATACCATTGAGCGGGATTTGTGGGCACAGTTTGTGTGCTTTAATGGGCAAGAGGAGGCACCCGATCTGACCACTGGCAGACTTTGCGAGCTGTGGACTCATGAAAAAATTGCTGTCAAAATCCATCAGGTATTTAATAGCGTCTGGCGCGGCTGGCGCTTCCCCCTGGCCCTTTGGAGGGGCTCTGGTCTGTGGGTAAACAGCGTGAGGACGGCCTGCACCCTGAGATCCTCCCTCACTCTCGTACTGCTTCCCCTCGTGTGGCCCAAACACCCCAGCAGTCCTGCCAGCGCGGCAGGACACTCAAGAAAATGAATTGCTAGAGGAGGTGTGACTTTTTAATGGATGGCGTGCAAAAGAAAAACAAGTGGTGTTAAGTGTTTGTGGGAGTGGGTTCCCTCATACAAAGAAACATTTCACAAACTCCATCCCCGATCTAAATTACTTTATTTATTGTGGGTAAGCGATGTTTGCTTTTTTGTCGGCAGTTAGCGCTGACATGTCAGTGCAATTAATATATGGCTACAGCCATGTGACGAGGAGGTTAGCATAAAGGCTGCAGCTTAAGGGGACAAAGTACAGCAACTAGCTCCTCAAAATGTCATTATTTCACGTCTTCTGTTCATCGGTACAAAACCAATGAATAAAAATCGTTATGCTGCTTTCGCTTGAGTGTGAGTGCGGGACTACTTCTTCGCCGAGCTTTAGGCAGAAACTAGAATGTTACTGCTCTCGGAAAATAAATAGTTCCTGAAATAACACCAACAAAACAATTACATTTACATTCTTGTACAGATTAAGGAAACAAGATAGAAGATTCATTTGGTGAGCTTTAGAGGTATTACCACTGGTAAGACAGGATAGCTGCTTGCCATCCCTGGTTTCCAGTCTTTATGTTAGATCATGTTCACCCTCATTGTAGCACCTGTTGATGTTCAGACTACTGCACAGTTAACTCAGCCTCCTTTGCTTGCGGTAGATTCAAACAGCATTAGACGTTGCCGCCAACCAAGCAACATACAACATTGCGCTCGAGAGTGTCTGCAGAGTTGAGGGAAAACCGAAGGAACGCCGTCTTCTGCTCGTAAGGCAAATTGTGCAGCTTTTCTCATTTATGTGTTCCAGCTGAATGGGGCTGCTGCCAAGTTCGGGATCTGGCCCGGCTTCAGAATTTCCCGGCGTGATAAAGAGACTCTTGTTTGAATCACAGTCAATAAACAGTGGGAGAGAAGAAAAAAAACGGTGACACTGAGAGAGTGATATGGGCAATTAGGGGAGTGAAATTTCTGCTAGACAAAGGACAGATTTGTGTATGTGTGCACGGCCTTCACACCTCCAAACAGCCACTAATTACAGACTAGAAGGCACATTTCTGAAAATGTAATGGAATTGAATGAAAAATAGTTTTTCTATATATTGATCTTAAGACAGTCACCACTGTGTATTCTGTGTCCATTCAGCCTTTTACCTCCAAAACAAGGCTGCAGATCTGGACATAACAATATTTGCATTCATTCTCAAATATTTGGGGGGATTAAAACCTCTGGGCCCAGGAGATGGAGGGTGCGTGTGCGTGGGAGGAGTGGGGGGGGGACTCGTCCTTTAATCTCATTTTCACAGTGTCTGCCTTTGACATAGCAGTATCCCATCTGAGCCTGACCGGGGCTGAGAGGGAGAGCGGCGAGGAAGGGGCAACGATGGGAGAGGCAATGAGGGGCACTAGAGGTAGGGAAGAAGGTGGGGGGTTGTCAGGCCTAAACTCAAGGGATTAACGGGGTGACTTCTCCTGTGGAATGTTCTACTGACAGCCAAGGCCCGCCCACCCACAGCTGCCTACTGCAGACAGGTGCACGGCCGGGCGAGGCGGGTGCCGGCTGGATGGGTGGATGGCTGAGAGAGATGGAGTGGCTTAGGTGGTAAAGAGGAAAAAAACTTCCATACGTAGCCAAAGACTGATGAGTATATCAATCGAGTATTTGGCCAAAGGTCCTCTTTCATGGCAGACTGGTCCATCCACCTGGAGAGACCATCTGAAAACAGGAGTCTATTCTTCTAATTTTAGAAAGATTTTTTTTATTTAGACTCTCCAGGTTTCATTCCTTCCAATTCACATGCCACAAATTTGTGCAACAATGCTCACGAACACGCTCGCAGTGCGCTTTAAGAGTCGGCTGAACGCGTGGTCCAGCGAGCGTGGAAACTCCGGACGAAACCTCCCTGAACAAGCAGGTTGAATAAGTTACAGATCAACTGCACACGCACACTCTTGCTCCTTACACCAGACCAATGCCTGTGTATTTCAGTCCAGTCGTTGCATCAGCGTTCTGTATACAAAGTAGACATGCAGCATTGGTAACACAAAGAACAGTATTCATTCATTCATTCATTCATTTGTCCTGCCATAATTCATGTTTGGGAATGTACAAGAGCTTGCCCGTGCTTGCTGCGCAGTCACAAACAGACAACGGATTCATTTTCAGCACTATTATTATCACGTTGAATTAATTCACGTTGGGATTAATTAATTCCATGATCAACATCCTCGGGTTGTGTCACGTCGCAACAAAGGACGATAAACACTGCCGCTGATCTACAACATCCCGTGTTCGGAAGCGAGGAAAGATCCCTCACGCGTTGCGCTTTGAAGTCGGTGGGATTCCTGAAGGTGAACACGACTGTGCTTCTAAGATGTTTGATTGATAGAGGGTGTGTGAAATCTGACACTTTGTTTTGCTCTCTCTTTGGTGACCTGCCCCACCACGTCTCCTCTGTTTTGAGAAGCAGGACGTCTATCCAAATATCAGGTAAACACCGGGGGGACTGTCAGGCGGGGAGGAGGAGGACTCGGACGCAGAGGGTTCAGCTGATATTGCTTTTATTAATAACAAGGAAAAAACTCAAAATCTCTCTTAATGAGGAAAAAAGGTTGCGATCAAAGTTCAAAAGGAAAAAACTCAAAATCTCTCTTAATGAGGAAAAAGGTTGAGATCAAAATTCAAAAGGCAAAAACTCAAAATCTCTCTTAAACGAGGAAACGTAACAGGGATCAAAAGGACGTGACAAACGTTATCGGACTTGACTAGACTCGTGACGTGAGGGCTGGTGTGCAGGGCAAAACAACAAGACACACTGGCACAGGACAAGGGGCGACGCAGACTATAAGTACCCATGAGGGAGTTGTGGGAACAGGTGGACACAATCAGGAATCAGGGAAGACAATCAGACTGGTGACACATGAGGAAGGGAAAGGGACCTGAAACGAGAGGGAGTTAGTTTCCAAAATAAAACAGGAAGTCAAAAAACAACTGGAGACAGGACAAAAACGCAACTTGACATACAGGTGTGACATTACCCCCCCCTCAAGGCCGAATACCAGGCGGCCTTGGAATGTCCGGGTGTGCTCTATAAAAATCTCGAATGAGATCCGGGTCCACTATGAAGCTAGACGAGACCCATTGTCGTTCCTCTGGGCCGTAGCCCTCCCAGTCCACGAGGAACTGCCTGCCCCGTCCCCGCTTACGTACCGCCAGCAGTTTCCTCACCGTGTAGACCGGCCCCCCCTCGACCATTCGAGGGGGTGGGGGTGGCTTGGGGTTTGGCACCATTGCGCTCTCCTTCGCTGGTTTGATTTTGCTGACATGAAAGGTTGGGTGTACCCTCAGGGACCGGGGCAGACGGAGGCGCACAGCTGCTGGATTGATAATCCTCGAGATGGGGAACGGGCCGACAAAGCGAGGGGCCAGCTTTCGTGATTCGACCTGCAAGGGTAGGTCCTTG